AAAGAGTGACATCTCAGCATGAACACAATAAATATAGTTTCTGTTAGAAAACAAACTTGTCACATGCTGATTCCATATGAGAAATGGCTCAAGTAACTAAATAAATAGCTGACTCATCTTTTATAAACATCAAACATTACTGGGTTCAATTCTTGGAAGAAGCAAGGGCTAAAGATCCCGGCTCGCAAGGAGGAGAAAGAGGAAACGTATTTATTCAAGACTCCCCTGCCCATATATCACTGCACCTCAGCAGAGCAGCTGGTCCATAAAATTCCTGAGCATCGAAAAAGCTGAGTGGCTAGAAGGCAGTGCTTGGCTGAAGCAGCTGCAAATTTTGTCTCTCTTCTCAGAAGTCCCTATTTTGCAGCTACATAAATGTATTGGCAGGCTTCTGTTTAAACTGTATGGACTTTAATTTTGTGTGTTTCCTTCACAGATGGCCTTTATGATATATATTTATGATGCAGTCATCATAAAAGTCACCAAAGAAAACTTGCATAACTTGCATTCACAGGAAGTGCTTCCACAGGCGACTGCATGGGAGTCCCGAGAGCAAGCTGCCGGGTTCCAGCTCCACATCCCTCCTGGGAGAAATCTTTCAAGCCCACTGCACAGTGAGAGCACTGCCACCTGCTCTCCAGACAACAGAGGCGAAATCTCACCAACGTGGCTTAATGAAGTGGAAGCATATTTCAATTTTTTTTGTTTTTAGAAGATCTCCCCCCATTAGCTTTGTATACTAGATTAAACAAGGCAGTCTAAAGAATCAAGAGCCCACAACTGTGGATTGTCCCAACACCTGCTGTGTTTATTTCCCTCTCCAGCACAGCTCTTAGCTCTGCCTGACTTCCTTCTAAGCAGGCCATGTCACCATGCCAGACTCTCATCCTATCAGCTTAGACACACTGGTGGGAAGAGCATTGTTCTCACTGGCTCCTGGAGAGAAGTCCAGAAAAGCGCTGGTTGGCCTACCTAGTCTGAGTCACAAGCCCTTTTTGAGGCAATTCCTGTGTCCAGAGTGGTCTGTGACCTTGGTGGGCTGAGCTTGGGCATCCTTACCACCTTGTGGCTGGAGCTCATAGGGCTCTGGCATCAAAAGGAAGGAGGATATGATCCCCCAAAATGGGAGCTAGGAAAGCATGATGAGCAGGTTAATGCTACAGCCACCTTGGTCCTCTATGGTGGAGATATGAGTTAACAAGGTTACATGCAAGTGGATGATATGGAATCCTCCTCCGTAAGTAGCATCATCTGGAGTTTTACAATTCTCTAAGTTTTGCTTTTGTAGGTTATTTATTATTAATCACTCCTGGTTCCTTCAGGTGTTTTGAAAGTGTTCAATCAATACTTTCAAACACTTACATGACTGAGCAGAAATAGAATCACATACATACCTCTAAAGCCATCCCCAACATCTCAATTGGATTTTTTATACTGGTTCTTTTCCCTGTACTGAATGCTGATAGCATGAGCTCTCCTCTCCTCCTTCCAAAGTGTAAAAGGAAACTCAGCTAGCAGCACATCTCAAAGACAAACCAGGTTTAATGGTGAAGGCGGCTTTCAGCCCCTGAGCTTGGTTGGATTCAAACCCACTTTACTTACTCTTCCTTGGTCTTAATTCTCCAACATCAGACAGAGTTGCCACCTTCCGTAAAGTGTCATCCCTAATATCATCTGACATCACCTTACATATTTGAGTGTACAGTTATTATCTGCTTTCTTAAGTTTCCCCTGAGAATGTACGCTTCAAAGGTGCAGGATGTCTTAGCTAGCCCCGGGGCCTAAATAATACTTACACATAGCAGGTGCTCAGTATATATTGGTTGGCTATAGGATCAGGTGTCCATAGAATCCTTTTTTCAGCAAGCCATTCCCATCGGATCTAACTTGGAAATGCTGTCATAAACAATTATTAAATCAAAAGGCATTGCCACACCTAGAAGTCCTAGCTGCTGACTAACCCTAGAATCTAAGAGTCCCACCTCCAGCAGGACATCCATCCACCCCTGGAGGCCATGAAGGGTTCTGTGCTCTGATGCTCCTCCATTTCTACAGTCTTTTCCCTTCCTGCACCTGCTGTGAGCTCGTGTACTTGATATTCCTATGAAACCATTTTACAACACTTTTCTCAAGTTCTACTGAGATCCTGAATTCATCCAATGGTCAGCTGGCTGAGGAGGACTGAATGACCAACCACTGCTGGGACTGTACCCGTTTTCCAATGTACTCAATTGTCCTTGACTTCACATGAGGTGGCCTAGTCATCCTTCCATCCACAGGTCTCTGAAGGCCAAGTCTATTCAGAAGATTCTCAGTAAAAGAAACACTTCTTGAATTAGCCTATCACAACTCCTGCTATTTGCCTAATGTTCTTACATTCACGGAAGTGCTTTTGAGGTCTTCTTGCTTTTGTGTCAGCCAACAAACCCTCTCTTTTTATGAACAAGCTTTTCAGAAAAACGTACTCTAGCTGCAGTCACCCTTTCTAGAAGAAAACCATTCTCTCTGACATGACAAGACCCAGTAACAAACAGCAGCAGGAAGAGCAGCTGTACAACACTGCTGACACCCGAAAGAGTAGGAAAAATAGCTGCTGGGGGTGGGGGGTGGGGAAACTAAGTCCATAAACATTGCAGAGGCAAGGCTCCCCCAGCTCTCGCGCTACATGCAGCAAACAATTACTCTCTCCAAAGAAGAATGCAGGTCTTACATGGAGTGGAACAATTAATTTCACGCTTGTCATCCTGGCCTCAATAGTAAGTTGATTTGAATCAGATATTTGCGGTACATTACAGCTTGCAGGGGACAGTCCGGGTGCCTCCGGAGCTGACGGACTGTCTTGATGGCTACCATTGTACAACAATCCATCAATAAGAGTAATTATGGTATTGATCAAAGCGCTTGGCTGCTTCAGATTGGAATCAATTCTCAGGAGTTGCTGGGAACAGAAACGTCTAATGGACTATTCCATCACCAGTCACTGCAGGGACTGAAACGGCTAATATTCTGGAAAGTTCTTAATAATTACTCATCGAATCTGCATTTCTGCTTTGTTGGACATAACGAGACCCTGCTTACTGTAGCCTGAAAGTCAGTCCAAGTGGATGAAGGAAGGGCCAAATGCAGACTTTTAAAGGGTCAGCATTGGCCAAAAATATAGAAAATGAAACATGGAAAACTACCTTCAATGGTTTCATGGTGTTCTAACCAGAGAAGCTCGTTTCTTTTTTTCTTTTTTCCACAGTTTTTGAGTGAGAAATGGTTTCTTTTTTCCACAGTTTCTGAGTGAGAAATGTGTGTGGGGCTGGGGAGGGGCGGGGAAGGCGAGGGAGAAAGCAGCTTATTTTGCAGTTGTTGCTCTTAAGGTGGTCCCTGGCAGAGAAGACAATTCTGCATTTCCTGTTGATGGCAGAGACTGCAATGTCACTAGTGTGAGATTCTCATGTATGTGTCACCCACCATATTCCAGCTCCTGAGGGGAAATGTGGACTCTCTAGGAAACAGCATGAACTTGGGGATACCCACAATAGTCCACAAGCCTAAGAAACCTACTTTCTTTTCCCTCACTCAGATGCCCATTGATGGATAAGCAGGCTCTGCCATAGCCAGGGAGCCCCTACATGGAATAAGAAGACCCCAGCAGCTGCCACCCTCCTTGTCAGATGGCCCCATGCTCAGCACAGTGAGAGAAAGGTGGCTGTCTAGTCTGGAGGACTTCTTCCTGTCACGGCCAGACTTGGCACAGCACTTCCCAGCACCAGGGCAGGGAATGGGCACCTCCTTAACGACTAGATGGCAGGTCCAGCAGAAAAGGTGCTGCTGACATCAAGCTCGGGCCCTCCCTTTGCAGGACTAGGCACAGACAGCCTTCCTCCAGCCTGCATCCCAACAGTAAGTCCTCCCAGAGCCTACATTTCACATGCAACTAGGCTTTTGCATGTCCATTAAGTATTTCGTTGCTCAGCCCAGCTATGACACTGAACAACTGTGCAACCTGGTTAAGTTCCTAACCTTTCTGTGCCTCTGTACATCCATGCACCCCAGTCAAGACCAGTGGGATGATTACATCTGAGGGCAGAGTGTTCAGAAAAGGCTCCTCTGAAAGGCACTGGAGATGAGCTGAGGGATCCCGCAGTACCAGCACACCTGGCCATGGAGGTGGGGAAGGGGCTGTCGGGCAGAGCAAACTGGGTGAGCAAAGCCTAGAGGGGCCAATGGGGCCGACCAGAGTTGTCTCTAGCACAGGAGTGCTGTGGGCAGGGGAAGCAGACACAGAAGGGCCTGGAATACATAGATCTGTGGATTATACTTCTGTCAGAGGCAGTGGGGAGCTACAGAGGCTTCTGAGCAAGGGAGCGAGCTGATAGGAACACCGTTTTAGAAAAGGTAACCCAGAATCGTGCAAGATGGATTGAAGTAAAAAGGGGAGAGGAGCATGAAGACCAGTCATGAGGCTGCCGCAATCATTCGGAGGAGAGATGATGATAAAACACCAAATTCCTCCAAAATAAATTTTCTGTAATCAGAAGAGCAAGTTGATTAATAATCGTGTGGACATTTGCCAATGCACATCCCTGCGCTGAGTTGCGTTTTGTTATATTTAAGCTGCAAGCCCGGCCGCGATGTTATTAGGAATTTACAGGATCATTAGTTGTCCACCTCTTACATTTCAAAGCTCTGTAAGACGCCTGAGTGAATTCCAAGTTCAGTTTGGAAAGTTTCAAGATAGCAACAATATATTTATTTTAAGGCTTAGAAGGTTTTAACGCCAGGATGACTCTTAACTCTCCTTCGCACTATGAGCATTACCATTAAATCAAACAGGATTCCATTTTTAAAGGGGGGGGGTCAGGTTTAGACAGCTGTGACCTGAGAGAAAAATGTGTGCAATAGAAACCGAACAGCCATTCCACAAGGGGAAAGTTACAGATGTTTGTCTTCCCTCACACCCAAATATTAATTTCACGATGGCCAGATTAAGGAGGCAGACAATAGTCAACTGAGATTACTCCAGCGCTTTTATCTGGAATTGGCAGCACCTCTGAGCCAGGGCTGGAGGACAGGAAAATGTCCTATTAACGCTCTGCACAGCAGATTGCTTGATAAAGTCTCCTCACTGCAGATCAGGGCTGTGTTCATCCCAGAAATTGCACCGACTCCCTCAGAGCGTGCAAGCCGCTGTGTAGAGGGTTCTCCCGTCTTTCTTCTTGATTCCTATACATTTCTGACAAAGAACATTGCTACTTTAACTCAATAATTTAGCAACAATAACAATATCAATAATACTACTAGCAAATAACCTTCCGTAGCACGTATTACATGTGAGGCTCCATTCTTAACGTTTAGCATTTCATCTTCATAACATCAGGTACACTTATCATCCCCATTTTCATACTGGGGAGCTGAAGCTCTCAGACAGGTTAAGAAATTGGCCCAGGGCCTTATCTTCTCCATCAAAACACACAGGCACACACATGTAACCACCCGGAAGCCAACAGAAGATAGCATTTGGTGGGTACATCATTGCACTCCTACAGAGTAAGTACATCCTATTGTTCCAAAAAGCAACAATAGGTTATTAGAAGCTCCTTGGCAGCTCTCACTGGTCCCCTGGTCCCCCGGACAGCTCCTGGAAGGGGAAATGGGAGGAAGCGGTGGATTGTGAGATAAAGAACCATCACTTAACCCCCATTTCTATCTGGAAATGGAAAATGACCCTCGGCAGATCAGACACATTCCTGGCAAACCCAAACCTGCCGTCTGATGCGTGTCAGCCCTCCTCGGAGAAGTGCTTCTCAAGTGTCTCTAACAGTGCTAGCCAACGCCGGCCAAGAAAATGGAAAACTCCACACATGTGAGCCCAGCCCAGGCGAGCCCAGTGACTCTCCAAGGAAACACGAGAAACTGCCTTTTAAACAAGATCCCTGCGTGGCTGTCTGAAGATTCCCGGATTAGAAACTGAAGTTATCCTGATCTCACTCGCCAAGAAATCCTCCAAAAGGCACACACACATAAAAACACACGAATCCTCTGAATCAAAATGGGTAACAGGAATGAAGAGACCCACTCACAACCCCTTATTCACAAATTAACACCAGGCTCCTGGCGCTGAGCTAAGACATCCCTTAAAAACGCAGCATCGATATAGTATTTCAAAATGCCATCCGACATGAAGACGCTCTGAGCCATCTTACTTGAGAGAGCTGGCCAAACTCGGGGCAGTTTTGAATCTTCAATGTTGAAGGTCCAATTTCAGAGATGTGTGTAAACAAGACGGGCACAGGATAATTCAGTGAGAATATTCAGTTAAATCCTCACAGCCAAAACACAG